AGGAGTCAAGCTAGACTCACGGGGTGATATGGAAGAAGATATCAACATCCCATTAAGCGGCGGCGTATGGATGGATCGAAAAGACATAGTGATCTTGAAAACGAGGCATATCAAGTCACCATCACGAGAAAGGGCAAGAAGTTTTGGAACCCATTCAATTCCTATGATGAGTTATGCTGGGACATCGCCGTGTCCATGTAATAATTCGTAAACCCTCGTCCATGTTCGAGTCCGTATGAACCATGAATCATAAAACTCATTGACCTGTAAAAGCAAAGTGCTGTCCGAAAAACATGATATCCTCCTTGCCTCCTTCCTGCCACTTGCCGCAAACAAATGGAAGTTCCAGCTGAGAACCAATTCATATCAGACTTGATAAACAAAAGCAACGCGTGAAAAAAACAAACTGAAAAAACGCAGGGAACCTCGAGTATCGTGAAGTCCGTGATTGTCGAAATGAAGAAACCGGGGGATGTTCACTCCTCGCAGCAGGCGTCCTCGCAGCAGGCGTCCTCGTGGCAATCGTCCTCGTGGCAATCGTCCTCGTGGCAATCGTCCTCGTGGCAACCGTCCTCGTGGCAATCGTCCTCGTGGCAATCGTCCTCGTGGCAATCGTCCTCGTGGCAACCGTCCTCGTGGCAATCGTCCTCGTGGCAATCGTCCTCGTGGCAATCGTCCTCGTGACGAGCCTCGTCGTGACGAGCCTCGTCGTGCTCGCGAGCGTATTGCTGGACCGACTCCCGCTGAAGACGAGCGATCTCAGCGTCGAGCATGCGCACACGCTCGTTGGCACGACGCAGGCGCTCATGGGCCCGACGCTGAAGCTTGTAGAGAGCCTGGACGCGAGTAGGTGCCATCTCGTCGACGGCCTGACCGGCGTCGGTCTCAGGAGCACCGAGATCGGTAGTGCTGCCGACCTGTTTAAGATACACGCGGCCCTGAGCAGTGTTGACAGCTTGAAGAGCTCCTCCCTGAGAGTGGCCAGAGTTCTGATTGCCGCGACGGGGGCGATGAGTCATCTGACGCTGGATGTCCGCGATAGCCAGGGCGCGAGTGAAGGGGGGACGCATCTCTCCACCCGCCTGGAAGATGTCGCGCAGGTCGCGGGGGCAAGCGTACGAGACCAGGTCGACCAGCTCGGACGCCGGGATGACATTGGCAAACGCGTAGGTGCGAATCATGGTGAAGGCTTCCTGAACATCGCGGAGACGTGCCAGCTCGTGCATGATGGGGGACGGAGCGAAGCCGTCGGCATCGCGGTGATCAGCCTCGAGCTCGGTGGCCATGTGGAACTCGCGAGGCCAGTTGATGTGCATCTCCTGCACCCAGCCGGCGGCTTTGGCGGAGACGTAGTCCTTGATGTCCCGCATGTCCAGGCTGTCGGCCATGACGAACTGATCAAGGAGAGTCATGAAGGCGACGCGGTCCGAGGTGGCGGTAGGGAATTTGCCGCCCTCCATGATGCTGTAAAGCTGCATGAAGGTGGTTGCGGCCCAGCGGATGGGGAGAAAGTCGAACATATCGGTCATGTTCAGACTGTCCTCAGCGGCCATCATGTCGGAGAAGCAGGCGGCCTCCGAGTGATCCTTCAGCAGCTTGCGGGCACAGACGAACTCGATCTGAACGCCGCACTCCTCGAAGATGAGAGTGACCTTCGGTCCAGCAAGACACATCAACTTATAGTCGTCGAACGAGATGAAGTCAGTGACTGGAGTCTCAAGGTCGGCGAGCTGAGGAAGGTTAGCAGTGTTAATCGGCGAGGGAGAGGATCATCAGGAGAAACATACATAACCGTGAACAGTCAGAATATGAGGCAGTCCGAGAGCGGGAAGGGGAGTCTCGGAAGCAGAGTCGTGCTCGGACTCGGTATAGGCAGGCTCAACCTCGTTCTCAGCCGTATCCTCGCTATCGGTGGCAACGCACTCGTCGTCGGTGTCGTCCGAAATGGGAGCGATAGTACCACCGGAAGTGGAAGCAGCGGTGTTGATCTCGTACTGAATATCGACATACTCATCAATCTCAGCTTGGCCATCATTGTCGGCCTGGGTCTGGGCAACGTCAAGGCCATCGCCGTGGTTCTGACCCTGATCTGGAAACGTATGAATATTAGCTTGAATCAGGGGAACAGGGTGATGGTCAATTGCATACCGATGGGTCCGACTGCTCCATTCTGATCATCGTTGTTGATATCCATGGCGTTCAGCACAAGTGCAACGACCTCGATGTTCATCTCCGGGAAGACGTTACCGTTGTTGGCAGACGGCATGATGAAATCTGCTGTTGAGCTGTGAGATACAACTGTGAATGTTAAAGTGATGATGTGAGAAGATGTGATGGGGGGTTGATAGTCTTGAAGGTTGTGATTGAGTCCTTCAAGCGGGATAGAAGAGGTTGGTGGGTAGGAATAAGAGACGGAAAGGGGATTAAGTTTCAAGAGTCGAGAAGACAGTTGATGAAGACGTTCCGGGTCAAACAAGAACTCGATACAGTCCTAGGACTATTGTACCATCAACAGTATTGTCACTTGATGCTCAGATTGAATAGAGATCAGTTACAGAAGAGGAGGACTTGGAGGTATTGTCTGCCATTTGAGGGCATCGTCGAATAGCGGACAGTGCCCTAATCACCTCCCTTGGCCATACCCCCGTCTAGTGCGGCCACTCACGTCGCAGCATTGCAAGAAACGCAATCCCCCACCAGCTCTGTTCCTTCCATTCAACTTGAATCGCTAGAGAATCAATGCCTAAGCAGTCCACCTGATCAGCTCGCGGCCTCGCGGCCTCGCTGCCTCGTGAAGTTGTGAAGTTGTCAAGCTGGAAGCTCGTAGAGTGTAGCCACCTCAAGTCTCTGCGTGCCTCTTCCCCTGCACTCGATTCACAAGAGAGTCGACCCCTTGACTGCCCACTCATCCTCTCGCGGCCTCGCTGCCCCCCTGAAGATGCGAAACTGCAAGCCCAAAGTGTGCCATGTAATAGCGCGTGCTCCTAGCACGTGCGTTCCCTTCCCTTTTGGACCCAAATTACACGAGAGTCGACGCTTCAAACAGTCCATTAAGGTCACTTCGCGGCCTCGCGGCCTCGCACCCTGGAGAACTGTAAAGCTGCAAGCTCAAAGAGAGCCCAACTGAAAGCGTGGACCCCTTGACTTCAATGGTGCCAACTTCAAGCGCAATGAAAATCTGTCTCCTAAGCTGCATTTCAGCCTCGTAGCCGCGTGAGGTTACGACCTCAGAAAGTGAACCGCAGCCTCGCCGCCTTGTAAGTCGCACCCTCAGGAACGTCGACACTTCCGACCCACCAATCTTTGGAAAAGGGGCAGTAAACACGTCTGTCTCCCACGCAACGAAACTTCGCCCTCTAACAAACTTCCAGCCGCCGAACACTTGTTCAACGCTCTCGACAAAATGACGTCCACCAGCTTCACAAAGCAGCGCAACAAAGGAAACCACTGCAAAGGCACTACCTTTACGAAGAGGACGATGTCGTTGAACGGTGATGAGCTTGCTGACAAGCATCCGAAGCGATGAAGTCGAAAGCGGAGCACCGGAAAGCTTGTGTTAGGGGTCTCTATGTGCACCGTGCGTTGAGCACGGTCCAGCTCAACGCAAGGGCCAAGCTGGGGAAGCATGACGCTCTTGCCTTGGCCAGCCAGCCTATCAGCGATCGTCATGATGTGACCCCTCTGTGTCCCGCGGCAGCCCAGAAACACGACATCCCAACGCCGCCTGCCGCTGTGTCTTTAAGCTTTTGCATGAACACACCATACAAATAAGACACGACTTCACTTCTTCCGCTCGCCAGCCCAATAGGCACCACAAGACATCAACCATGGCTTCACGGGGCGTTTCGGTGCTGAAGTTCGTCGGCACCGTATCTCTCGGCCTTCTTACTGTAAGTCTCACCGATGCTTGATGTTAAGCGCTTGCTTTGGGCGGAAGTCGGGCAGCCCGATGGCGGTGGATGGAAGATGCAGGGCATTCAGGCCCGTTAGACTCGCTAGGATCGACTTCGAGGGCATCGAACCAGACATCGAAGGGCATCGAGCTCGGCCAGCGCACGCTGAGGAGGATACCACCCACTGTCAAGACTCAAGCCAGCTAACAGACTCATCGCAGGGCCTCTCCTACACCCTCTCAACCCTAACCGTCCCCTCCCTCCTCGAGCTCCCCTCCGCCAGCTCCGCCGCCAAAGCCTTCAACTACCTCATCACAACGGCGAAGAAGCACCTCGGCACCCTCACCGGCGTCTCCGCCTCGTCCTTCCTGCTCGCCTTCCTCCTCTCCCCCAAGCCCGTCCGCCACCCGTACCTCCTTTACACCTCCATCCTCGTCGCCTCCTCGGGTCTCATCGTCTCGGACTTTGTCGCCCCTTACCTCTTCATCAGCAAGTCATCTTCCTCCCAGTCAAGCCCGGCGGCCACGCTCGCTGCCGCGGCCAAGAAGCAGAAGAAGGACCGCGCGGCCGCCAAGCGCGCGCAGATGGAGGCTAGCTACGAGGTGCTGGGGTCCAGCTCGAGTGCTCATAGCGATGAGACGTTGTCTGCTAGTGAAGTCGATGTAGAGGAGGAGTTGGCGCAGGATATCAACGGGGAGGAAGTGAGGACCGAGGTCGAGGGGTTCCTGAAGAAACAGATGGTTCAGACTGCGATCAGCGGGGCTGGCTTCCTCATGGCTGTGGTTGGCATCTGGGGCGACGGTGTCGCCCAGGTGTTCCAGAATGAGGTTGTTCTTGTCCAGGTATGAGTTTGAGGGCCCAGGGAAGAAAGGGGACAGAGCTATGTGGAGTTTATGGATCTCTCCACTCTGATGGCCTGGATTTTCTGCGATGGTAGGGCTGTTGAGGTTGGAAGACATCACGGATATTGTCGCTGCTTTTAGTTTAGTTAAATTCCCCCCCAGTACACGAGACGATGAATACATGCCATTTCACGATCAAAAAGTTCAACTGCTTCCGGCAGGATATGCATAATACGGAGTAAAGGCAGTGAGAGCAAAAAGGATATGACCGATGCAGGGGTCGAACCTGCGACCTTGTGCGTACACATATGAATCTATCGCAAGGGAACCCAACAGGCAGATGTGAGGCACACGCTCTAACCACTGAGCTAAACGGTCGTTGTCTCGTTATGTAATCCTCTGGCCTTGATCACCAATATAAGATTTGGCGAGGGCAGTGGATCGTCTGGGAGCCGTTGTCTTCGCTTGGGGTTGCGAGTCATGTTTGCGCAGGGTAATGCGCTCGGAGGCTTCACCCTCGGTGGCTTGGAGCTTCTTACGCGTCGTGGATGAGAGATGTAAATGCAGTGCTTGGGAGGATGTTATGCCACCATGAGCTCATCCATTTATATCTCTACAAAGTATGGAAGTCTATCAAGACGTCGAAAGCTACCAAGGGTCTGTAACGAATCGCACTACAGCTCCATACAGACGTGAGGGTGTGCTGTCTCTCCAATAGCCATGACAACCAACCTCACCAAGCGGCGCATGTACGAATTACATCCAACCACGACACATATCCCAAACCCATGAACAATGTTTCGATCCCAACGGCAGTATCTAGACAGCGACAGTAGGATGAAAAACCGGTCATGTTGCCTTGTATTCGAACTCGGGTATCAGTAATCGGGCCATGTACGCTATGTGGTGCGGTCGGGTATATATCGCAACGGTGGTGATCCAACACCTCAAGCCAGCCATGTATATGTCCAAGAACCCAACCCAAAATGCACCCGCTAGATTCTCGCTCAACATACAACAAATCACCCTGCCATCTAGCATCTGAAAAGAAATAGGTATCCCCAAAATGCAAAACCCGCTTAATGTCAACCCATCGTTCACGACCCAGTCAGCTTCTTCCACCAACTACTCCTGGGTGTGGTATCCGTAAAGACACTCCCCCGATGCTGTCCCCTCCGCTCGTCACTCCCGTCGGAACCAGCCCGACGGTCCCTCTCCCTGTCTCTGTCGCGATGACCTTCCCCACTCCGTTCCTTCTCCCTCATCTCCCGCCTCGCATGCCGTCGCCTCTGGTCATCGTACTCCTCCCCACCTGTCGTATGCTCGACATCTGCGTACCGGCTCCTCCTCCTCGCTCTGCGTTCCTCCCTCCGCCTCGCCTCCTCGTCGTCCTCGGGCGCCTCGGTGGAATTCCCACCGTTAGCACCGTCCTCCGGCGGTGGAGGCGCGTCAGAGTGGTCCTTCACCCACGAGTCCGTGCCGGAGTGCGGCCAGCCCGCGCTCTTTCGCTTGTCGGACTTGCTGGTGCGCTGGTACACGAAGCCCTCGTCAACAGGCTCGGATCGCCTGCGTGACGATCGGTCTTTATCACGGCTGCCGCTCCCTGTTTCGGCGGCGGCTTCGCGGGCAGCACGACGCGCCTCGCGGCGTCGGCGACGGTCTTCGTCCTCGCCGGCGTCGGTGTCGACCTGTGTGCTCCGTCGGCGATCATCGCCGCCCTCGCGCTCCTTTCGGAGGCGTTTGCGTTCCGCACGCTCGGCTTCCTTCTCTTCGGCAGCACGTCGCTCTGCCTCTTCGCGCTTGCGCGCCTCTCTTCTCTCGGCTCGTCTTGCCTCGCGTTCTTCTTGTCTGCGCGCCTCTTCAGCCTCTTCAGCCCTTTTCCGCTTCTCACGTCTTGCTTCGTCTTTGGCGTGTCTCGCCTCTTCTGCTGCACGCTCGGCCGTTTCCTTCTCAGCACGTTTGGCTGCTCGGCGTGCGGCGCGACGCGCTTCTGCGTCCGGGTCGTCGGCTCCCTCGCCGTCTGTAGTTATAATTGTATCCCGTCTTCGCGGAGGTGATGGTCGAGGAGTTTCGGATTTAGGTGTCGCGAGGATGCCGCCGAAAAGCGAGCCGAATGCAGACTTCTTGCTTGTGCTCGTGTTGGAGCGTTTGAGTGTGGGAGGGCCGGGTGTGGCTTCGGCAGGGTCGACCATTATGATGTCTTCGTCGCGGTGGTATTGCTGTTTCACACGAGGTTAGCTTATGTATGGAGAGAGTAGTGGTGATGGGGTACAAACCTTTGACCTCCGGTGCGACATGTCACGAACCGGAGTGGCATCCGCGGCGCCAACCATGACAATGTCATCGTCGTCATCCACACGCTTCGGCTTGCGCTTGCTAGCGGAAGCCCCCACACCAAGGATCTTGGCCGCCTTGGAGGACATCTCAGGCATCATCTCGGGTGGCGGGCTGGCGATGCCGTTTGTCATGTCGACCGAGTGCCTTCGCGAGCTTGACTTGCCGCCAATGCTAGGCCGCTTGTCGCGTGTGCTGGCGGATCGGGAGAGAGGTGGTATGCTGGTCAAGACGTTGGGTGTCCTGGGCGGTTTGGGAGTGCTCTTGGGACGGTCGGAGCGCTCCTTGTCGGAAGTAGAGCCCTTGGAGGAGGACTTGTCTTCCCTCTCGGCCGACTTCTTCTTCTTAGAGCTGGGCTCCTTCTCCTTCTCCTTCTCCTTCTCCTTGGTCTTGGACTTGGAGGACGACTTCTTCTCCTCCTTGACTGGTGTGGCAGACCAAGCGCCCCATGACGATCCTTCGCGGTTTATCTTGGGTCGCTCTTTCTTCGAAGACTTGGGTTCGGGAGGAGGTGTCGGTGGGCCGTCGGTCGGTGGCATGGGGACGAACGGTGGTGGTGGAGGTGGCGCAGGCGGCTCGACAATCTTGGAAGACGAAGATGCCTTCTTGCTTTTCTTGCTGCTCTTCGGGGGAGCCATGTCGATTATTTCCACTATCTCGTTCTCGTCCACATCCTCCGGAAAACTGCCGGGAAGGTCTGACTTTCTGGTCCTGGGAGTATCGTCGACGATGAAGATCCCCTTCGACTTCTTGGAGCTCTTCTTCTTATCCTCCTTGGACAGTGGCGCATCCGGCCAGGCAGCAGGAGGCGGAGGTGGAGGAGGTGGTGGTGGAAGTGCAGAAGAAGGGAAGTCGTCAGGCTCCACTGACTCACCAAAGGCCTTTAGTCGGTCAGCAATCTTGCCCCCGACAGGTTTCCGCGCCTTCATTGATTTGGAAGAGGCAGCATTGGGAGTCGTGTCCTTCCACACCTCGGTCAGGAGCGCGCCAGCAGCCGCGCCAGCAATGGTGGCTTCTAGAATGCCGGTCTCCTTGGATGACTCAGCCGGTTTAATCTCTCCCGACCCACCGGATTTAGATTTACTCGCGCTAGCGTCAGGCACGGAAGACGCGAGCTTTCCCGCTTTGGGCTTAGCGCTAGCCTTCTTTCCTGCACCCCAGAAACTGAACGGGTCGTCCTTGGCGGCGGGCTCGTCCCTGGTGGAGTCCTTGGGCGGATCGGCGAGGAGCTCCTCCACCTGCTCGGCTGTGAGGTCGATGTCCTTGTCGAGGTCGTCCAGAAGGTCTGGTTCCGGCTCCTTGGACTTGGAAGACTTGGACTTCTTCTTGGACTTCTTGCCAGAGTCGGCTTCTGCTGCAGCTTTCTCCTCTGCTTCGCGGGCAGCATCTTCTTCCGCTTGGCGAGCGTTGTCCTCGTCTGCTTCCTTGGCAGCCTTCTCCTCTGCACGGCGGTTGGCGTTCTCGGTGAGACGGTCGAACTCGGCCTGGTCCTTCTTGAGAAGTCCCTTGGTTCCGCGCTTCGCCTTCTTGACGTTCAGCGCAGCGAGCTGCTCCTCCTCCATGGCGATCTCGGCGGCTTCAGCATCCTTCCGGGCCTGCTCCTCGGCCTCGAGACGCGCCTTTTCTTCGGCTTCGCGCGCAAGTCGTTCCTGTTCCTCGGCCTCGGCAGCAGCTTGGCGAGCGGCCTCTTCCTCAGCTTCTTTGGCAGCTTTCTCCTCAGCGCGACGGTTGACGATTTTGGTCAGACGGTCGAACTCGGTCTGATCCTTCTTGAGAAGCTTGCCGCCCCTCTTCACCTTCTTCGCCTTGAGGGCAGCAAGTTCCTCCTCGTCCTTGGCGGCCTCAGCAGCCTCAGCATCTTTGCGGGCTTGCTCCTCGGCCTCCTCCTGGTCCTTCTTGTCCTGGGCGGAAGGCTCGTCGTCCCAGACATTTTTCTCTAAGTCGTGTTCAGCATCCGGCTCATCCAAGGGGGGCGACGGCGCAGGCGGCGGCGGAGGTGGAATCGCGTCCTTGGACTTACCCTTCTTCTTCTTGGAGGCGGATCCCCAGTTGGCCCAGTCGTCGTCGGCAGCCTTGTCGTCCTTGGTCTCCTCGACAGAGTCCGGCATTACGGAGACGGTGTTGGTCTCCTCGACAACCTCAACGGGCACATTGTTCTTGCCGGCCTTCTTCTTCTTCTTGGAGGACGAGGTAAGGCCCCAGGTATCGGCTTCCTCGATGGTGTCAGGCTTCACAGACTCAACCTTCTTGTCGCCAGTGCTCCAGGAAGTGAAGAAGTCATCTTTGGGAGGCTTGGAGCTTGAAAGGTCATCGGCGTTATCCAAGTCGATAAGCGCGTCAGAGGTCTTTTTGCTCTTCTTCTTGTCGGTCTTCTGGCCCCAGTTCGCCCAGTCGTCGTCAGCGGCCTCCTTGACAGGCTCAGGCTCGGGTTCAGGGTCAGCAGCCTTCCCCTTCTTCTTCTTGTCCTTCTTGCTAGAAGAGATGCCCCACAGATCGTCGTCAGCAGCTTTCTCAGGCTCAGGCTCAGGCGCGGGAGGTTCCTCGGGCTTGACTTCCTCGATGACACCCTTCTTCTTCTTCTTGTCTTTCTTGGAGGTCGAGAAGCCCCACATGTCGTCCTCCTCCTTCTTCTCCTCAACCGGTGCCGGTTCAGGTTCAGGCTCAGGCTCAGGCTCGACTGTCTTGCCCTTCTTCTTCTTATCCTTCTTGCTGGTAGAAAAGCCCCACGTGTCGTCCTCTTGCTGCTTCTCAGGCTCCGGTTCTGGCTCCGGGTCCTTGACAGGTTCAGGTTCCGGTTCGGGGTCCTTGCCCTTACCCTTCTTCTTCTTGTCCTTCTTCCCAGTGCCGAAAGAGCCCCAGAAGTCGTCATCCTCCTTCTTCTCCGGCTCAGGGTCCGGTTCAGGCTCCTTAACAGGCTCGGGCTCGGGCTCAGGTTCAGGGTCCTTGTTCTTTCCCTTCTTCTTCTTGTCCTTTTTCGAAGTACTGACGCCCCAGAAGTCGTCGTCCTTCTTCTCGGGCTCCGGTTCCGGTTCAGGTTCCTTAAC